ATTTTCTCCTCTACTTTTTCCATCTGGACGGAGATCAAGGAGACGTCCTCATACATTATGTCCTGATTGTGACGCACATTTTCCAGATCACTATGGAGGTTTGACAGCTTTGTTTCGAGATCTGTAAACCTGGCGCTTAAATCGCGCACTTCTCTCGAGAGTGAGCTGATCTGGCCTCCAAGCTCATGCTTCACGTTCTGTACCTCCTTTAGTATGGTGTCCCTAACTTCGTCTAGGGTCACTGGTCCAGGGTTCATTTCTACGTCGTTAGCACACAGAATCCGATGTGTTATAACCCCAGCCGGCACGGGATTACCTCCTAATAGACAGATACGCCGAAGACCCGGGTTCGAATCCCCACATGGGCACAATGTGTGAAGCCCATTTCTGGTGTCCCCCGCCGTGATGTTGCTGGAATATTGCTAAAAGCGGCGTAAAACCAAACTCAGTCAGTCAGTCAGTCCTAATAGACAGACGTCGGGCGTACGTTGAGATTGAGCTACCCAAGCTGTACAATCAGCTTCAACGGGCATGACGTCAGTGGCATATACAAGTTCATAAACATGCTCTTTTGGTAAATATGAGTGAAAATCGATATTTTCACATGTGACCATAACAGCATAACTCAATCCCATGTGCAGTGAAAACATCATTGCACACAAAACAAGTCTGAAATGCACATCAGTACCAACGACAGTAGGTGAATACTCGCCATGTTTGTCGAGCGTTACTTGCCGGGTGCCCTTGGGTTGAGAGAAGAGTCCAATTCTTGCTCTATATACGCCAATCGACACCATTTCTTCTTTGAGAGGCATTTTTAGAAGTTGTATAGATGAAGGAAAACCAAGTTCTATGGATAGTCAACTTCTTTATTGGAATGAGTGCGACGTTTCGGTGTAGGTACTAACACTGTCATCAAACAAGTGATACAAAGAGTTGTAACATGGAGAATATATACATAGCTGCATAGTGTGTATATACAATTGACAATGTTGATATACATTGTATTGCTAATTAGTGATTTGAGCAGAGTACGTTGATGTACAGAGTGATAGTGATTAAAACAATATGCAGAATGAGTTGATACAATAGATGAGTTGATGTACATTGAGATGGTAATCGTGAGTTGAAGAGAGTAGGTTGATGTACACATTGCTTGGTTGTGATTACAATGCACAAAAGGGAGAATAGAAGCCAATTGGACGAGGTATCGGTGGATTACTGGTGATCTTTAATTAGGTGGTGATAGGCTGAGGAGATAAAATAACCTTGATCCCGGTTCATGGTGGGGTTGAAGCGTTGGATATTTATGGCTTCAAGAAGTTTCCTAATCTTGTAGTCTGATCGGTTGGTTTCCAGGATGTGGATGTTGTCCCAGGGATGGCTTGGGTGTGGTCGGCTATGGCGGATTTGGAGTCTTTTTTCTGGACTGAAGTTTTGTGTTCTTTAATTCGTAGTGGGAGAGGGCGGGACGTTTCACCTATGTAAGAGTCTCCACATTGGCAATTCATCTGGTAGACTAATCTAAAAGGAAAACCGGGAAGTCATCTACTACATTGGTTTATTTCTGTACTATCTGTATAAAATTACCAATGCTAGAAATTTAAGGGGTTCAATCTTGATTGAATGAGTATGGGTTTACGCCGCTTTTAGTAATATTCCAGCAACATCACAGCAGGGGACACCAGAAATGAGCTGCACACATTGTACCCAAGTAGGGAATTGAACCCAGGTCTTCAGCGTGGCGAGCAAACGCTTTAACCATCACGCTACCCCACCGCCCGAGGACGTTCTTTCCGAATCTCTACAGGAGTTTGTATAGTTGTCGTCTAACGCCACACTCAGCAATATTCCAGCTATATTGCGACGGTCTGTAAATAACCGGGTCTGTACCAGACAATCCCGTGATCAACAGCATGAACATCGATCTACACAATTAGGATACTATAACATTTGTCAACCAAGTGGGCGAGCCTGACCGCCCGACCCAGTTAGTCGCCTTTTACGACAAGCATGGGCTACTGAAGACCACTTCTAGCCTGGATCTAGCCAGGAAGTCGACTATTGCCTTACTGCAGAGTGAAACGTTTTTCTCTCTCTTGACAACCATGCAGACTTGGAGCTTTATAGGTTGTGTACCAGGTTGTGATCGCACCAGAGTAGTAAGGCTTACGTATATGGTTGTGTTCTGTGAGGCTTTGCGTGTCCGCTGTCTAGGACAGAATGAGTCTTTTTAACTGCATGCTATAAATGACACTATAAGTTTTTCACTGGTCACGAGGGGGGCATGGGTTGATGTACACTCGATGTTTGTTTATGTTCTCTGAACTCGAAAAAAACATCGCCCCGAAGGGCGAGGGGAACATAAACAAACATCGAGGGTACATCAACCCATGGGCCCCGAGGGACCAGTGAACAACGTATTTATCTTCCTGAACACCTTAATTTTAATTGTTTTAAGCACGGGTACAAATCTTTGAGTAGCCATCGCTAGGTTTTGCTGACAAGAAAAACAGATTTAGAGTTATCTCCCTTCCATCGATTTGCATTCGTAAAACATCGGTAATTTCCGTACATCATACGTGATTCAATGTTATTCGAGATAAAGAATTACTACCACGAAGTACCAAATGACTTTCCATTGACAGCGGGGTACATTGAAATGTTACACGCTTGTAAGCGGGGTACATTGAAAATAATAGAAGAGCGCTCAGCCAATCAGAAAGCGACATTTATGTGTGAGGTAAGATAGAAAGGGATGTAAATCGTTTGTTTTGAAAAAAGATTATGATAAATGTGTGTTGTTATTGTATAAGTACAAAAAAGGGTTTTCCATTTTGCAGCAAGCAAGCAGAACAATGCACATTGCAGTACAGTGGTTTTGAAGATGCCTAACCATGCATTGACGTGTCCGTTGGCAGATGGCAATCAGCACCACGTTTTCGCATTGTATACCATACCATTAATAAACATTTCATAAGCATAAATTTCTATAGCTATGTAAATCTCAGTACAGAAAAGAACTTATTACATATGAAAGATATCTCAACATATAAATACAATATATAATTAATGTCTTTATTCTCAAATACACAGTCACACACCAACAGCCACACGCACACCCACAAACTATATATATATATATATATATATATATATATATATATATATACACATGGGCGCGTTCGTTCTTTTCTTTAGGTATTGCATTGTAATTCTGACACGTAACACGTAACTTAACAACCTTCACTATAGTATAACATGTCTGTAATATGTGTTGATGATTTGAGACGTGAACGTATGACACTGACAGCATGTCTTCATTTCAAATATTAACAATAACCTATTCACACGTAAAGGGGAATAGACAGGAAAGTTTGTCAAATTTAAACAAGACTAAAGATCATGTCACCAAACTATCCCTACCGATAAGCAATACAGGAAGAACAACTGGTGTCCACTGGGATGCTTACTTCTTACCTAAAAATCTTATCCCCAGATTTCACATAGCTGTATCAGCGAGAAAGTTTAATAATTCAAAAGCATAGCTATATTCCTATCCTCGGGGTAAATACAGCACGAAAACAACCATTGACCAAATTCTGTGATCAGATAGATGTATCAGCAATAAAGTACATCATTTCAATTATTGTTTACACAGTAAACTATTATTCTGCAAATATCTAAGCCATATCATATCTCTAAATAGGAAGTAAGCTGAAAGTAATAACACTTACCTGTATTCAAATATATTTGGCTAAAATAATTAGGGATGCTAATACAATGATGTTAAAGGCAAATATACCAACAAGAAAATATACAAACGCATTTGGGCCATATTCTCCCATTAGGTAACCACACACGGGGGTTAGAACAAAGCCTGCCAGAGTGAATGCAATATATGCTGTAATTATGTTTGGTGACATGGCAATAATTTCTCTGGACCAAATTAATCCCGCCGATAGTAAAGGACCTGTGCTGGAACCGATTAGGACTGTTGAAAACCATAGGAGGTCAACGCTTGTTTGTGCTAAGAACAGACATACATGACCAATAAACATAACAACATACACCGCGATGATAAAATGTGTATGTTTGAGGCTGTTTGGCAGAAGGCTAGGAGAAACCCGACCCGCTGTAAAACTGAACCAAAATGTTGACGTCATCACTGCCATTTGGTTCAAAGACAGCTGTAAAGAGCCATCGAAACCAAATGTTGTCAGGAGTGAACTGTAAATGCCCATAATACCTTGTCCAAGGATGAAATATGTACACATCAAAGCTATATAGAACCACTCTGTTATTGTTCGTCGTCTGGCTTCTTGATTTGGCATGATTTCGTATTCTGGCATCTGTCGTTCTTTGTAGTGGAAAAAAATATGCCCAGCAATTGCAGGGAGACCCATAAAAGCGAACATGATGTACGGGTATTGTATGAAAGTTACAACATTCTGACACGGTTCTGTTGTGTTGATGTGTTCTTCTGTCGTGGATGGATATGGTGCCATAATAGTCCACGTAGATGGTCTCATATAGTCATCAGACGTATTAAACGTCAAGTGTTCAAAGCCTTCGGACTTGTTGTTTACATCAAACGTCTTTCTAAATGACATGGTGACCGCACCACTACTGAGAAATGGTCCTAAAATCAAAGGTCCAAGCGCTGGTCCAAGGGCAGCGGTAGCAAAGAGTAGGTGAACAATCTTTGCATTTTCCGGCCATACCACGTTCATCTGATGTACCAAAACTGTAATGAGAAGTAAAGTATATTAGACAAAACCCTACAGTGTGGACATTCTGTACCAAGTTTAGAGGTACTCTTGAGGTGTCTATTTTAGCGTTTACATAATATCTAAATTTTACTATTAAATCATTAGGCCGTCTATCTGCTAGGCATCTACGTGACTGAATTTAAATTACTCTGGCTTCATATGTATATTTACTCATATTTCAGTGTCATGAGTGGTTACACAGTCTTGTTTTAAACGTCATGTCTGCTTTCAGCAAGGGCAAATGGCAAATATTGAAAGGGTTTTGTCATTTGTGGTACTGATCGTGATACTGATCGTGATAGTGCTCGTGATACTGACTGTGATGCTGACGGTGATACTGTTGGTGATACTGATCGAGATGCTAATCGTGATACTGATCGACATACTGACGGTGATACTGATCATGATACTGACCGTGACACTGGCCATGCTACTGACCGTGATGCTGACAGTGATACTGACCGTGATACTGACAGTGATTCTTACCGTGATGCTGACTGTGATACTGATCGTGATGCTGACTGTGATACTGATCGAGATGCTAACCGTGATACTGACAGTGATACTGACCGTGATGCTGACTGTGATAATGATCGTGATGCTGACCGTGACACTGGCAATGCTACTGACCGTGATGCTGACCGTGATACTGACAGTGATTCTGACCGTGATGCTGACTGTGATACTGATTGTGATGCTGACTGTGATACTGATCGTGATGCTGATTGTGATACTGACTGTGATGCTGACGGTGATACTGACCGTGATACTGACCGTGACACTGGCCCTGATACTGACCGTGATGCTGATAGTGATACTGACCGTGATACTGACAGTGATTCTTACCGTGATGCTGACTGTGATACTGATCGTGATGCTGATTGTGATACTAATCGAGATGCTAACCGTGATACTGACAGTGATACTGACCGTGATACTGACAGTGATACTGATCGTGATGCTGACCGTGATACTCACCACGATACTGAACGTGATGCCGATCGAGATGATGACTGTGATGGTGATCGAGATACTGAGCGTGATACTGATCGTGATGGTGATCGTGACACTGACCATGATGCTGACTGTGATACTGATTGTGATGCTGATCGCGATACTGATCGTGATGCTGACAATGATGCTGACCATGATGCTGACTATGATGCTGATCGAGATGCTGACTGTGATGGTGATCGAGATATTGACCATGATGCTGACTGTGATACTGATTGTGATGCTGATTGTGATGCTGACCGTGATACTGTTCTTGATGCTGACTGTGATACTGTCCGTGATATTGATCGTGATGCTGACCATGATGCTGACAGTGATACTGATTGTCGTGCTGACCTTGATGCTGATCGAGAAACTGATCGTAATACTAATAGTGATGCTGATCGTGATGCTGACCATGATACTAACCGTGATGCTGATCGAGATGCTGACTGTGGTGCTGATCGAGATACTGTACCCGCATACTGATCGAGATGCTGACCATGGTGCTGATCGAGATGCTGATCGTGATACTGACTGTGATACTGATCGTGATACTGACTGTGATACTGACCGTGATACTGACCGTGATTGTGACCGTGATGCTGACCGTGATGCTGACTCAGATACTGATCGTGACGCTCATCGTTATGCTGACCGTGATACTGACTGTGATACTGATCGTCATGCTGACCGTGATACTGATCGTGATGCTGTGCATGATACTGATCGTCATGCTGATCGTGATGCTGACCGTGATACTGACTGTGATACTGATCGTCATGCTGACCGTGATACTGATCGTGATGCTGTGCATGATACTGATCGTCATGCTGATCGTGATGCTGACCGTGATACTGACTGTGATACTGATCGTCATGCTGACCATGATGCTGATCGTGATGCTGATCATGATGCTGATCGTGATGCTGATCGTGATGCTGATCGTGATGCTGACCGTGATGCTGACCGTGATGCTGATCGTGATACTGATCGTAATACTGATCGTGATACTGATCGTGATACTGATCGTGATACTGACTGATACTGATCGTGATGCTGATCGTGATGCTGATCGTGATGCTGATCGTTATACTGTTCGTGATACTGTTCTTGATACTAACCGTGATGCTGACCCTGATGCTGATCGTGATGCTGATCGTGATGCTGACCGTGATACTGACCGTGATGCTGACCGTGATGCTGACCGTGATGCTGACTGTGATACTGATCGTGATACTGTTTGTGATGCTGATCGTGATGCTGATCGTGATGCTGATCGTGATGCTGACCGTGATACTGACCGTGATGCTGACCGTGATGCTGATCGTGATGCTGACCCTGATGCTGATCGTGATGCTGATCGTGATGCTGACCGTGATACTGACCGTGATGCTGACCGTGATGCTGACCGTGATGCTGACTGTGATACTGATCGTGATACTGTTTGTGATGCTGATCGTGATGCTGATCGTGATGCTGACCGTTATACTGTTCGTGATACTGTTCTTGATACTGACCATGATGCTGACCGTGATACTTATCGTGATGGTGACCGTGACACTGATCAGTAAGCCACATATTCCTTATCTAGGACTTCACTTTGCAAGATCAGCATCAATGTAAGGGGTTACTTCCCTGAGACGCCATTATATAACTGAAATTCTGTGGCATTAAACCAACTCAATGATGCCGGTGTGAATGAGTGACAAAGATGACTTTGACCCCCTTTTGAACAGTTTTCAAGTTATATCCCAAAGAGTCCACATAAATGTGGAAAAGATGGAAGTGAACCAGGTGTGAGACCAATGTGTTGAAACGCTCGAGTAGGTATAATGTGCCGACAAACCTAGAAACAAAATCAAATCAGGGAACATCGGGATTTGAACCCTCATATTGCCACGCATTAAGGCGACTGGGCAACCGAGCACCCCCGACTAACCTGACATCCCTTGTCCAGTAGACAGCCCAGCAAGATACAGAAGCAGTGAGGCGAAATATATGTTCCCGGAAACAGGCACCAAGGCTGTTGATAGACTTGAGAGGGTTATAAGCAGAGCAAGGAGGAGGTAGGTCGGCATCTTCTTCAGTAGAACAACCACAAGAACTTGACCAGATACACCTCCTAACCCAAACCAAAGTACCAGGGATGTAACAACTTGCAGACTGACGCCAAGTGAACATCTGAGGTCAGGGATTGAAGGTCCTATTACTCCAAAGAGTATTCCCTGTATAATTAAAATATATAGTTGTAGTCATGTTAAACCTAAATGAATCACAATATGTGAACACACATGTATAGGTTCCATGTGTAGGATGTTGCAATATTGTTTCCGTTTCTGAATATGTTTGATACTGTTAAATATTCCTATGTTGTGGGGTTTATTCAACCCATGTCTCCATTGACTAATATTCTGTTTATATGTAAATGTGAAAGGCAATATTGTTCTGAATACACAATACCTTCAGTGGTTAAATGTTGCTTATGTCAAATTTAGGATTAAACTTTCTCAGAAAAATACCGATTCAAGTACTGTTGGGGATTGAGCCCCATCCATGATTCGAACTGACACTACATTGTTCCGGAGCATTTAGAGTACAGATTTATCATATGTTAAAGCAATGCAACAACATCTCGTATATCTTAAGCAAAAACAACTCATTACATTTCGCAAAACAGTGTAACAAGTTTTTATCATGGATATATCTTATACTATACACCTGACTTTCCCACTATTAATGGAAACGATAGCAACGAAATGAGCTACTTACTAAACACATGGAATGAAGGTAGAAGACCGCGCCTTTCACACTGGTACTGCCGGCCATATTAGCCAACTGTTACTGCTCACTGAGATACAGCATCGTGAAAATATGGTGATCATATATCAATGAATATGCAGATGAATAACGTGTATGGAAACTTGCACAAGCCATAAACATGCATATACACAGTTGAGAACATATGTTCACCTCTATAGGATTTGAAATTCCCAAACATGCTTTCAGTGGAATATATAGAGAGTATTATACGAGCAAGTGTGTCATACGACTTATACGAAACGAGTGGGACATTTTGTATTGCTCTCGAGTGTAATAATTACTTTATTATCCATTAGATTCAGGTTCATTTGTGCAGTAAACCAAGGTAAGCAAATGTGACGGCCCTCTTCATTGACGTCACGTTCAATTGTTTAACGACGTCACAGACGATGAAACACAGAAACGATGGTTGCTAGGCAAAAGTGATATGTACACATGCGCACATATTATATATATGACACTGCTTATGTTTCACCATATGGACAATAAATCTTGTTTATATGTTAAACCGTTGACTGTGTCTGTATATTAGTAAGGATCCACAGAACGTGTTGGAGATGATTTATCGTGTCTTGAACGGTTTAAAAATGGTTGCAGTTAACAAAGTATAGTATTGTAGAAAATAGGTTGAGATACCACAGACAGAGAAATAGAAAACAACTTGATACGTCGAGAACAAGTTTCTTAGGTAGAAAGTTAAGTGATCCTGATGCTGGCTGAACGGTCACAACTTACACATGTTTGTTTTGTTTGTCAGCAATATTCCAGCTATATGTAAATAATCAAGTCCGGATCAGACAATCCAGTGATCAACAGCACGAGCTTAGGTCTACGCAACTGGCATGACTACCCGATACAATTTGTTATCAGTTCTAACCTGGATCACAGAAGTATTTTAGATGAGTCACTGTGTAATTAATGCCAAGTCGATTCTCAAACCTCAACAGAATTGCATCAACTTATTTTCAGTATCAGAAAAGAGCCCATTTCAATTTTACAAAAACATATGCTTATATTTAGAGCATACAGCTATACCATATCACAAACCTAAGGACCTAACATTTATCCCGTTATCCAATGAACATTTGTTACAGAACGTGGTGACCAATTATATAGGTACAAGGAAACGTGTCAACAAATGAAAGCCATTGGTATCTGAAGTTTATTGAGAAACCATTGATACGTTAGACTTCCTCGTTGATGGTATCTTCGTAAAATATGGGATATTGAGGCAAGAAGGAAGTATCCTCTTGGGGCAAACTGTGCTCCCTTTTTTGCTAATATATATAAATAATAAAATATAAAAATGGAACATTCTGAGCCAAAACGCCAAAAAAAGACAATTTGGCTAAGAAAATAAATTTAAGCTCCGGGTAATCGATGATGTGATATCGGTCAACAGCAATCAACTAACCAATCTACATCCACTGATTTATCCATCTGAAGCAGAAATGAAGGATACCAGTTATAGTCAGATGCATAATATTATCTATTCAGAGTGGCAAAAGACTGTACGACAGGAGGAATGATTTCAATTTTCCCTGCACATTGGACAACGTTCCAATAGCTCAAGCCTTTGGAGCAAAAAACAAAACAAAACAAAACAATATCAAAAGCTAAACCAAAAAAAAATCAACCCCAAAAAAAACCCCGTTTGAGATACTACCGAACATGGTTTGTCAGCGAAGAGGTTACTCGACTCGGTCATATCTTGTTACCATGCTTTTGTAATTGGTCCTAAACAACTGTCCTTCGGGACTGAACAGGTGTATGTTTTGTTTCTCTACAGTATTGTTAATTTTATTCATATCATACCCTGTCTGGCCATCGGCATTAAGGAGACAAAGCCATGACAAGTCAACTCGGAGTCAACACATATCTATTACAGGTCCGGAATAGTACAAACACCCACACGTCCATGAACGTTGCTATATGTGTGATATCAACCTAAGGTTTACACCTCACCTCGCCCATTTAACATTTCATTGTGAGCCATGACAAAAACATCTACCATGATCAGGAGGATGTTTTAGAACAACGAAAATAGATTGAAGCATCACGTACTTTATTTATGAAGGTAACAGGTTATTACATTTAGACCATAAAGACTGCCAGTAAGACATCATAACATACAACCTGTGTGTTTCCTTGTGATCAATATGTGAATACTTGTCCTAATAAGTCGGCTTACCCGTCAGTCAGACATGTACGGTAAATGACGAGAAGGGCAATGATTCAATGACCTTGTTATATGCGGTATCTTATGGCCAATCCGTCCCTTTACTCATTTACACCACAACATCAAGGATGTATTGATACAGATTAAGTTATGAGAAGTCAAGCCTTTTAAAGTACATATCTGATAACCACAAGCAGGCTTATAAAGTTCAAAACAGTAAAGCAATAGTAAGCTATAAAGAAGTAAACAAAGGCATCAGTACCATATCCATCCATGAGCCCACCGCATATGTAGGGAAAGGAAAACCCAATACCAACAGCAATAATAAATACACAAACTATTCTTGGCGAAACGTTCAGGATTTGCTTTGAACATGCTAATCCAGCAGGTAGAACAGGCGCTGAAAACAGTCCAAGAATCACAGACGCCACCCAGAGTGCTGCAGTATTATCAAAGGAAAAACAAAACACAATTATACCAATTAGCAGTCCCGTAAAGCTTGCACTCAAGATGTAAATCTGTTTCACACTTGCTGGAAGAATGCACGGTACTAATCGACCAATCAGAAACGAAAACCAGAATACTGATGTCATAAGAGTCATGGTGGACAGACTTATCTGGAGGCGACTCTCAATGCCAAACGTTGCCAGAAGACCGCTGTATCCTGATGGGAAGCCCTGACCTGACAAAAGCACAAGGAACATGAACACGATAAACAGGTAGTCCTTCTTCCTGCGTTTCTGAGACTCAGGGTTGTCTTGTGTTGCATTGAGTGTCTCATATTGGTCTGACTGAGACGAAGATTGTTCTTTGACGTGGAAGTAGACGTAAGCCGGCACACACATAACACAGATCACTCCAAACATGATAAAAGGGTATTGGAGAAGAGTAATACCGTCAGGACCACTACAATCAATGCTGTCAATCTGAAGAGATGAAACATTCATCACGGATGTCAAGTTCCGCCTGTTTTGTATATGTTCTGCGTTGAAAACAGGTGTGTTGTTGTGCTGGAAAGGACCCCTGTCAGTTGTGATGTTATACCGTGTTTTGTACATCTCCGTTACGGCACCATCGCTGAGGAAAGGTCCGATAACCAACGGTGCTAAGACGCTTCCAAACGACGAGACTCCAAAATGAAGGTGCACAAGGCGTGGGTTACCGGGCCATAACAGTCCACACTTGTACAAGATGGCTGAAACATGGAATCACGTTAGGTAGTATATGTTAGCCTTTCATTAGAAACCGTTCAAGGAGAAACATATCTTATATATGCATTTTGCTTTTTAAAGATCCACTTTTTGACATAATGTACAAAAAATATTTCCTATAGTTCTGTATAAAATACCAGCTTGGATGGGAGCATTCACTCACTAGTGAACGTTCCTGTTACGACCATGCAACTGTCTAATCTTTCTAGGTAAACTAACATGCATTATCGTAAAGGTGATCCAATATAATTCAATATGATAAGCATAGCTTTATATATTCTTACGATTAAAGCAGGCTCCGCTAAGTACTCCCGCTAACGTCTGTAGTATTGTGCCCATAATGATGTTTCCGGCATATGGAAATGAGAAAAAGTAGATGGCTTTCAGTACAATCAGAACGCCAAGCACGATATATATAGGAACATTCTCCATCACAAATGATATTATTAGCTGACTGAAGATTCCACCGACCCCAAATACTAAGAGGAGAAGGCTCAGCTCGTCTAGACCAGCGTTGAAGAGGCATCTCAGGTCGGGTAAGATTGGTCCTATAATTCCAATAATAACTCCCTGAAAAGAAGATGTAACGTGTATATTTAGGAGGAAACCTCTACGGGGCTTTAGCTGAAAATGTGTACACAAGTGCTAAGCCACATCACCAGGGCCGGGCTGCAATTCGATAATGACCAAGCATGTGGATATCAATCACGAAAACCAGTTATGAGATATGGTGTTACCATTTTCGCCAACACCTCGTGTCAACATTGATTTCTAGTGATTCAGTTTTATACTTTTACCGATAAGTGATAAATAATTAATGTATATATGCACTTTATATTAAAAAGATATACTTTTTGAAATGGTATATTGTAAGTAGCACGCGAAGGACATTTGTTATTCATACATGTAAATGTGAAACATTTTCTTGAATTCAAAAAGTTATTACTTACCAGTAATAGGAAATGGACATGTACAGTAATACCTTGTAATATGGCTGACAGGCGGGTCATAACTGAGCTAACAGATCATCTAGTATGTTGAAGCCAAACTGTACAGTCACACGAGGAGACCTGCCACAGAATGTTTTGAAGGATATAACACTTGTTTGTCACTTGGGAGGCTTGCTGCCCATTCATGTCTTAAGTATGCTTGTTCCAGAACGTTTGACATTTGATACAAACCCACTACCCAAAGATAATTTATGCAAATGTCCCATGCATACACGTGGATGTACATGTCATTATAAGGCTAACTATTATTGTGATAATACAGTTTAAAATTGACAATATTTCAGTCATGCATGACTTTGACAATTTATGCACATAAACAACTGTCCAAGAACAATATCAAATGTATCACCGCATCAGTGAGTCTAGTTGGAATAAAAATAGCCAGCAAGCCAAAGTTGGGATCATAGGGACTAACACAACATCTGCTACATGCACATGTGGGACCGCAGCTGGTTTTGAACCACCCCTTCAGTCCCTGGCAAGTGTAACATGTAGCTGTTTATTAAAACAATTGTACTTTTTCTAATACTACTTCAATCCCCGTCCACAGGGACTAAAATTGTAATATTAATCATTTTGTACTACGTGATCATTTATTAGACAAGAGCACACAAAGGCCAGCTTCTGTTAAGTTCCAACTGGTGGAGAGAGGATCTCCAGATTGGTTCATTGGGTGAAAGGTCAGTTTCTGACTAATCAGTAGATGTAGGCAAATCGTAGAAATGTAAAATTATGTTTGTGAGTGAGTGAGTTAAACTCTGAAGTCACATCGGCAGTATTTCATCCATATGTAAGCACTAAATACATCATAAATACAGAGTTGAATTATAAAAACCTGCCAACGAAGGACAGTAAAAACCACTATAGGATCACAGATATGAATACAAAACTAGTTTGTAAATCTAAAACTTTCTTACTATTAATAGAATACATATGAAAAACGGGCTATGGATCACCAGCAACTGAAGGTAGATCACGATACAGACGGTGGGGACTTATGGTACTTTTGCTACCTGCATGGACGCAAGCCGGATTTACATGATCCCTTCAGGCGTTGGTGATTGTAGTTTAATTTAGCCATGACTTAAAACCACAAAATACTACTTTTAAAATATTTGGTAAGCTCAATTTCCCTTGAATGTTTTGGTACTTACGTACCTCACAGGGGGACAATAATTCTATAATACTTCAACCCCCCCTGAGGATTCGGCCACTCACAATCTGTTCACTGATATAAGCTCACTGTATGGGGTAAGAAGTGGCGTCACAGATTTGTCGAGGGCTGCTTTCACAGCAGCAGCAACCCTTGTGTTGCCAAAGATTCCATCATGGCTCGGCAACCAACACAAGGCGATGTTGCATTGCCCAGTAACAAGATTATTGTATCATTCAATGATGTCAGGTAAAAGTGGAATTTGTAACGAATTGCAATTAATTGCCTGAAGATAAGAGAGTGAGTCTGAAAAAATATTGAATTCTTTGTGTTCAGACTGTTTACTAATATATTGCAAAGCTGTTAAAATGGCTTTCGATTCAACTGTAAAAATGGAAGAGTTATCTGGTAATCTGGTTGATAAAGTTTTGGATCAAATGATAGTGGCACAAGCAACAGTGTCCCCATCCTTGTATCCATCTGTAAATATTGATTTGACGTATCATAATTCCTTCTTAACTGATTATATTCTTGTTGGTATTGTAGTTGATTTGTTTATTTGTTTCCGATTTATGTAGTTTAGATAAAGTAAGGTCCACATGTGGTTTTACCAATTGCCAAGGAGGAGAAGAAAGTCTGCGGAAAGAAGATATATTTTCGAGCTCAATGTCAGCAGCAGAAATGAAAGGTTTAATTCTTATTCCTAGTGGCGGAATAAGAGAAGACTTCTTGCTATACAGATCCTCATAAAGATGATTAAAAACCCAGTGATATGCTGGGTTTGACTCATTAGAATATAGTTTTAAGATATATTGAAAGTACAACTATATTCGACGTTGGTTTAGAGATGGCCCATCGGCCTCAACGTAGAGACTGTCAACAGGAGAAGTTCTAAAAGACCCAAGGCAAAATCCGAGTCCTTGGTGGTGAACAGAATCTAATAATTGTAGATTGCTTTTGCCATAATCGTGTTTCGAGCGGACGAGCGATCTGTGTAGGCCCTATATTTTTAAACTGAATAACGTTACTGATAATATGCTACCTTGTGGTACACCTTGTTCTTGATCATCCATATCAGACATGGTGGAACCCACACGTACCTGGAACTGCCGATCTGTTAAAAACTGACATATTATTTGAGGTCTCTCAGACTTATAACATGTGATATATTTGGGATTACACTTTCTTAGTAAAGTACAGATTCTAGCCCTTTTGTTGAGTTGATTCTCATCCGAGATTCGAACCCATACCCTCAGAATCAGGCACCAAATCGCCAGCACACAAAGTCAGATACCTAACCTGCTCAGCCACCGCGACTTCCAATTCTTATATATTAAAAAGCGCATGTTGCTACCCTGTCTGACAATCAGCATTATGGAGACAAAACCAAGACAAGTAAACTCAGCACATACCCATTACAATTCCGGAATTGTACAAACACCTATAAACATATACGTCCATGAACGTTATGCGAGATATCAACCTAATCGTTTCACCTCACACCTCGCCCCTTTAACATTACATTGTGAGTCATGACAAAAACATCTACCATGATCAGGAGGATGTTTTAGATCAACGAAAATAGATTGAAGCATTTTATAAACTGTTATCACGTAATTTATTCATGAAAGTAACAGGTTATCACATTTAGACCATAAAGAATGGCAGTAAGACATTATAACACAACCTGTGTGTTTCAATATGTGAATACTTGTCTTGATAAGTCGGTTTACCCATCAGTGAGATATGTACAGTAAATGTCGAGAAGGATAATGATTTCAATGAACTTGTTATATGAGATATCTTATGGCCAATCCGTCCCTTTACTCATTAACATCACAATATGAAGGCTGTATTGATACAGAATAAGTTATGACAAGTCAAATATATTACAGTACATATCTGATAACCACAAGCAGGCTTATAAAGTTCAAAACAGTAAAGCAATAGTAAGCTATAAAGAAGTAAACAAAGGCATCAGTACCATATCCATTCATGAGCTCACCACATATGTAGGGAAAGGAAAACCCAATACCAACAGCAATAATAAATACACAAACTATTCTTGGCGAAACGTTCAGGATTTGCTTTGAACATGCTAATCCAGCAGGTAGGACAGGCGCTGAAAACAGTCCAAGAATCACAGACGCCACCCAGAGTGCTGCAGTATTATCAAAGGAAAAACAAAACACAATTATACCAATTAGCAGTCCCGTAAAGCTTGCACTCAAGATGTAAATCTGTTTCACACTTGCTGGAAGAATGCACGGTACCAATCGACCAATCAGAAACGAAAACCAGAATACTGATGTCATAAGAGTCATGGTGGACAGACTAATCTGGAGGCGACTCTCAATGCCAAACGTTGCCAGAAGACCGCTGTATCCTGATGGGAAGCCCTGACCTGACAAAAGCACAAGGAACATGAACACGATAAACAGGTAGTCCTTCTTCCTGCGTTTCTGAGACTCAGGGTTGTCTTGTGTTGCATTGAGTGTCTCATATTGGTCTGACTGAGACGAAGATTGTTCTTTGACGTGGAAGTAGACGTAAGCCGGCACACACATAACACAGATCACCCCAAACATGATAAAAGGGTATTGGAGAAGAGTAATACCGCCAGGACCACTACAATCAATGCTGTCAATCTGAAGAGATGAAATATTCATCACGGATGTCAAGTTCCGCCTGTTTTGTATATGTTCTGCGTTGAAAACAGGTGTGTTGTTGTGCTGGAAAGGACCCCTGTCAGTTGTGATGTTATACCGTGTTTTGTACATCTCCGTTACGGCACCATCGCTGAGGAAAGGTCCGATAACCAACGGTGCTAAGACGCTTCCAAACGACGAGACTCCAAAATGAAGGTGCACAAGGCGTGGGTTACCGGGCCATAACAGTCCACACTTGTACAAGATAGCTGAAACATGGAATCAGGTTTTATGACGCACTAAAACAATGTACGTTGGGTAATATATTTTAGCCTTTCATTAGAAACCATTAGGGGAATTCTTTTTATATTTGTTTTTTACAAGATATACATTTTAACATTATGGACATAGAACTTTCTATAGTTCTGTATAAACTAACATCTTGGATAAGAGCACTCACTCACTCACTCACTCCATGTTCCTGTTACGACCAATTATCTAGACTTGCAGTTGGTGAGTGTTTAAGGTAAAAATTAATAGTTTAAATGATATTTTCTCAAATTTCTAAAAACATATAAATTATATGAACATATTGCCCTCTAACAGAGTAGCATCCTTAGATTTAATTGTCGGCTTATCTAGCCTTGCTTCTTTAAGTGATAGAATTACTGTCATTACTTAGCATTCAGTACAGCCTTGGAGCAAGGCAGCTATATGATGATACTTGGTTTAGTAACATGTATTGTCGTAAAAGTGATCCAATATAATTCAATAGGATATCTGTTAAGTATAGCTTTATATATTCTTACGATTAAAGCAGGCTGCGCCAATTACTCCCGCTAACGTCTGTAGTATTGTGCCCATAATGATGTTTCCGGCATACGGAAATGAGAAGAAGTAGATGGCTTTCACTACAATCAGAACGCCAAGCACGATATATATAGGAACATTCTCCATCACAAATGATATTATTAGCTGACTGAAGATTCCACCGATCCCTAATACCAAGAGGAGAAGGCTCAGCTCGTCTAGACCAGCGTTGAAGAGGCATCTCAGGTCGGGTAAGATTGGTCCTATAATTCCAATAATAACTCCCTGAAAAGAAGATGTAACGTTATATTTAGGAGGAAACCTCTACGGGGCTTTAGCTGAAAATGTGTACACGAGGGCAAAGGGACAACACCAGGACCGGGCTGCAATTCGATAATGACCCAGTATGTGGATATCAATCAGGAAGACCAGTTATGAGATATGGTGTTACCATTTTCGCCACCACCTCGTGTCAACATTGATTTCTAGTGATTCAGTATTATACTTTTACCGCTTTTACACACACACACACACACACACACACACACACACACACACACACACACACACACACACACACACACACACACACACACACACACACACACACACACACACACACACACACACACACACACATTGATTTCTAGTGATTCAGTATTATACTATTACAGCTATAGTTATAAAAGTATAATACTTTATATATATTTTATATATATACTCTCCCAAAAAAGAAACGCATATAGGAATTTCAACTGTATTTTTATGTTTATTTTGAAACATCTTGTAGGCTTATGAGTCAATGAAATATAGCAAACTGGGAATGCAGACTTATCCGTCTTTGGCACCAACTCGAGGAAAGTCAGTTTGAGTGTCACATGGAGACGTGTGGTGGCGCTGAAGTCAATACCTCGTGTGACCAACGTGGGCATCCAGAACTGCACGGCATCGCCTCGGCATCGAACGAATAAGTCTCAGAATCTCGTGTTGCCCAATCGCAGCCCACTCTGCCTGTAGTGCCTGTGCGAGTTGCTGAAGTGTCTGGGGCTTAGGGTTACGGCGTCGCACCCGTCTGTCCAGGGCATCCCACAGATGTTCGATCGGGTTTAAGTCCGGTGATCTTGACAACTCCCTTTGGCGATCAATGATTGGAAGGAGGTGTGGGCGTAGGATTTCGTCACAGTACCGTTGAGCTGTCAGGTTGCCCTGGATCAACACCAAATCACTTCTCCTACGGCAGGTGATCTCCCCACATCATAACACTTCCCCGGCCGAATCTGTCCACCTGGGGAACGCAAGCGTCGACGAAACGTTCACGTCGACGTCTGTACACCCGCATTCTTCCATCGCGTCGTTCCAATAGAAATCGTGATTCATCACTGAAACAGATTCTACGCCAATTCCAGGCCTGAACGTTGGTGCACCATTGAACTCGATGTCGACGATGTTGTTGTCGAAGCACAGGGCCAAAATAAGGTCTTCTGGCATGTAAACCAGCCTGTCTCAACCTGTTCCTGACGGTCTGTGCAGAAAGCCTCCTCAATCCGGGTATTTGTCGAGCGATACTGGTCGCCGTAGCTGTTCGATGACGCAGGTGATATACCCGGATGTAGCGATCCTGCGCCGCAGTGGTCGCTCGAGGTCGACCACTACGAGGGGCATCTGCTACCGTATTCTGCCGGCGATATCTCTCCCAGAGCCTTGAAATGGTGCTTTGGTGAACATCCGTGCCTCGGGCAACTGCACGTTGAGACTGCCCAGCTTCAAGCAAACCAATGTCGATATGACTGTTGGCTTCACTTAGACGTGGCATTTGGCGTTCGTCAACAATATTCCAAATACAGTGAATAATCGACAGACAGCGATCAACCTTTTATACCCATCACTGAGACTATCTGATCCCCACCTTTCACGTGCATTGCATGTGAATTGTGTATTCTGTGACACTACACGCCGAAATTTAAAATCATGCTGTTAAATACGGGTATTTTACGGATGGTGCGTTTTGTTGTGATGTTTCAAAACATAAACACCATAGGACTCTTAAACAGAGCAAAACCTTTTGTAAAATGAATCACGTTTTAATTCATTGCTACATGCAATTGCTATTTTCATGATGCGTTTCTTTTTTGGGAGAGTATATATATGTCTGTGTGTGTGTTTGATATTTAAAAAGATGTGCTTATTGAAATGATGTAATAGAAAAGGGTATGAGTGAGTGAGTGTGTTAAAATTTAACGTCACATCGGCAATATTGCAGCCATATCGTGACGAGAACAGTTGATATCAATATTCAAATCAATAAATGTATAACGTAAAAACTTGTCATCAAAGGACAGTAAAACTACTAGAATATCACAACTTTTAATTTAAAACTAGTATGTATCATAAAAATATATCACGAGAGACAAAAGAACAATATACGAACGGGCTATAGATCACCAGCAACTGAAGGTTGATCACCATACTAAGGACCATGGGGACTTACAGTACCTTTGCTACCTACATGGGCCCTAGTTGGATTTACATATCCCTTCAGCAGCCGGCGATTGTAGTCAAATTTAGCCATAATTAAAATTTAAAAAAATTCTGCGCTTAAAATCCTGGTAAGTTTGAACTTTACTTTGAGAGATTTGGGACTTACGTACCCTCTGAGGAGGACAAAAACTTTACAATACTTTAAACCTCCTTGAGGGTACAGCCACTAACAATCTGAGTTTAAACTTCCAATCATAAAATATTTTTCTATTTACAAATCATTTAACTTATCTAATTCTTTTAAAATTGCAATAATTAAATCAGAACTGATATTAATAAAAAAAATCCTTCATAGTTCGTGATTTAAAAAAGTTATCCCTTTTGATTGAATATTCAACACAGTCAAGCGAGACATGCTTGACCGTGATTCTTTCATCACAAGGGATGCAAAACGGAGGATCCTCACCTTTCAATTTGTATTCATGAGTATATCTTGTGTGGCCAATACGACATCGTCGTATAATGGCCTCTTCAAATCTGGACTGACAACCCAAGTAGGTGTTACCAATATAAACTATGGGTTTTATTTCATGCAATTTATTGATACCTACTTGGGTGTCGCTTTTCTTCTGCATCAGATCACGGATGTACGATCTAATGGTTGCTTTGTAATCGGAGTATGGAATGAGAAGTGGTGTCACAGATTTGTTGAGTGCTGCCTTAGCAGCAAAATCGGCCATTGTGTTCCCGGAAATGCCAACGTGTCTGGGTAACCAGCAAAAGACGATGTCGCATTGGCCAGAAGCAAGATCATTATATAATTCAGTGATTTCTATTAAAAGTGGATGGTTACAAGAAAGATTTTGCAGTGCCTGAAGGCAAGAAAGAGATCTGAAAAGATGATGTATTTTTTGTATTTAGGGTGTTTATTAATATATTTTAAGGCTGTTAATATGGCGTTAGCTTCTTCTGTGAAAATAGAGCTGTTATCCGGTAATCGAGAAGATATTGTTCCAGATCCAATGACAGTGGCACAAGCTACCGCGCCAACATCCTTTGATCCATATGTAAATAAGGATTTGTATGTATTATATTTACTTTTTAATTGATTACATTCTTGTTTATATTGTAAGTCATTAGTTTCTGATTGTTTAAATGTTGGGAGTGTAAGGTCAACTTGTGGCCTCACCAATTGCCAAGGAGGAGAAGAAAGCAGACGGGAAGGAGCTATATTTTCTAGCTCAATGCCAGCAGCAGAAATGAAAGGTTTCACTCATACCAAGAGACGGAACAAGAGAAGACTTTTTGTTATACAGATCCTCATACAGGGGATTAAAGACACAGTTATATGCAGGGTTTGACTCGAAGGAATATAGTTTTGTTATGTACTGTAACGTTTTATACGGCATTGATTAAGAGAGGCTGTCAACAGGTGAAGTTCTAAAGGAGCCAAGACAAAGTCTTAGACCTTGATGGTGGACAGAATCTAACAGTTGTAGGCTGCTTTTGCAGGCTCCACCATATACGATGGAACCATAATCACGTTTTGAACGGACCAATGATCGATAAAGTTGTAGGAGGGTAGTTTGATCCCCTTCCCACTTAGAATTGGAAACGCCTTTCAACAAGTCAAGAGCCTTCAGGCATTGAGT